TGGACATTTTCTTATTAGCCAAAACTCCGAAAGGATAAGAGTAAACATGGCTTTAGAGGGGAAATTTTAGAGCTCTCAACCCTGGTGTTTAATAAAGATGAAAAAAGCAGAGACACCACCATACTTGATAAGAACTGAACAGGAAGGAATTTCTCCCCAGAGGAGCATGCATATGCCAACAGCATGGGACAGCGTGTCTTCCCAATTTAAGATATACTTCCTAGGATTATGATTGTTTTCAAACTTTTTAATCTGTCTCTGATAAGCAGAAAGTGAGCAAGTGAGCATTGAAGAAGGAATCTTATCAGGAGTTAGAGACTTGGTACATGGTAGGCTTTTAGGTGAGGGAGGGAAGGAAGGAGGGGAGAAAGAAGGAGGGAAGGGTACTAATGATGGTCTGCCTACAACTTAGAGAAGACAGAGCTAGGAGATGGTTGTGAGCAGCGGTGGAGGTTATCTATGTTCTTAAGGACGGATGAAGACATTTTGGAGAAAGGCCAGGGAAGGCTATAATGTTTAACCGTCCAACTTCCTCTCCGCTAAATTCAAACTCTCTGCTGGCCATCTGGCTTCAAAGGAAGCTAGTATTCAATACCAGAAGACAGTTGGGTTTGCATGGTTTCTTGACCTAGAAGTTACTGTTCCCATGAGAAATTGTTTAGTTGGCTAAAGTCTCCAGGGCCTTATAGAATAACTCAGTGACCTTGTCTAATAAAACAGGACTGACGACACTGAGTGTATGCTCCCATCCTATCCCGTCATTCAAGGGCCACATCCAGTTGGATCTCTGGTCTCCATGGAGACGGAGTGTTTCCTGCCCTGGTTCCCAAAGGACAGAGGTGGCCCAGCCCACAGCCTGACCAGACATACAGAGAAATCATTTGGGGAAGGGAACTTTTAACTATTATTTTTAATCCCTTTAATGATAGTTACTTAGTTATTACCTAATATTAATAGAAAATTTAAAATGTGCCAAACCCTATACAACTGATTGGGAATTGTTTTCTTCTTAGTATATGTTATCAGTATATAACTAAGTATGAATACCCTTATATCTAACTTCCCTTATTCCTGTGTTCCTCTGCATACATATGATGCCATTGGTATATCATGTTTTGCTTTCTACTATGTCCCATGAAGCCATTTGTGTACATTCTATCACCACACAGAGAACAGTGGTTTGCTTAAAGGTTTTTACCCTTTTATCACAGTATTCTATACATTAGGACCTTAAAAGATGGTTCTCTAATAAGTAAATCAATGTCCTCATCATTAAATGAACCATTTATATACCATGTTATAGTAAATGTGGTAACTCCTCCATGGAAAAGGTATGATAACATTTTATGTATTTAACTTACAATTTTAATACTACTTTTATTTCTATGAATAAATTTCTTTAAATATTCCAAACCCTCCAGGAAGCTATAGGCTGAACTACCATTTTACTTTCAATAATAGAGTAACCTGATAAAGTTATAAAGTAATATTTATGTCAATTGGCTCAATAAAATATCCTCAGAGGAGGATAACAAGTCAAATTTTGTCTAATAATGTTCTTATACAGAAAGGCTTTAGACTTGCTCCCTCTGGTGTTGGATACAGGAGAGCTGCCTGATGTAGCAAAAGCCTTTCTCAGAGCCCAACACTCTCTCACCTTCAGGTCCAGATGTGGTCTTCCTAAGATGCCGCCTCGTTCACTGTAGGTTCTCTGGAAGTCTGCACGAAGAGAATTTGGTGAACATTTAATACAGGGTCCTCATCCATCCTTAAAAACAGAAATCAATGTTTGCCTACCTAAGGAACTGACTTTGGGTTTTTAACCAAAAAAATGAAAGTATACTCTCAGTAATAAAAACTCCACAGATCATAATGGAAAATATGAAAAGAAAAAGTAGCATGCGTGGTAATGTCCTTGGCTTTACTCCTTACCCTATAGCTTTCTGCTCCTAATACCTGAGATTTCTCTTCCCAAATATGGTGTTTGGTGGAGTGGGGCAGGGCCGTCACACATTTATTTGTATATATCACCTCCAATACTTTGGTTAAAACTGCAAACACCAGGGGCTGGAAAGACAACTAAGCAGTTACTTGTACAGAGGACCTGAGTTTGGTTCTCAGCACCCATGTTGCACAGCTCACAAGCACCTGTAACTTCAGCTCCAGAGGATCCAATACCTTCTTCTGGCCTTCAAGGGTGTCTGTGTTCCTAAGTGCACACACTCACACAGACGCACATAGTTAAAAATATGATAAATATTTTAAATGCAAACATCCAACCGGATCTTTACTTCCTAAGTAGATGATTCTGGTAGAAATCCAAAGGCTGGTAGTGTTCTTAGGGGTGTAGCAGGTCCGTGTGATCTGTTCAATAGACAACAGAACAGATAGAGCTCTTTCAACTGCCTTCTTCTCATGCATAGAGGAGTAGAAGATTCCAAGAAAAGTCATCCCAAACAAAACAAAACCTGAAAGCACATTGGCTATCACTTAAGTCCACCCTAACATGACATGCTTCTCAGTCAGCAAGAGCCAGAAGCTGCACTTCTGTCTTAGATCTCTACACGCGTTTATAATGGCTTCCATCCCACCTACTCTGTGAACCAAAGTGAAACTAGCATCTAGAACAGGCAGGGGCCACTTTCCTTGAGCAGAGAATGGTTCCAGAGCAGTGGCTCCTACTTCTGGCTGCCTGAGAGAAGCATTAGGAGGGATTTCAGTAATTTTCATGCCTGGATCCTGCCCCAGACATTCTGGTTCTTTGGCCTGGAAGTGGCCAGGCTAAAGTAAACTGTGCTTTTGCTTCTGGTGGGACAGCTGAGCAGAAGTGGTAGTTTCTATTTCCTGACAACGGAAAAGTCATCCTCAGAAGATTGTCCCACAGTCAGCCTTGCACTTGCCACCTGGGAACTTGATACTCAAACTCTCACACTGCCTCAGAGCTCCTGAAGCAGAATTTCTGAGTTGGGAGTCTGAGTTTCATATTTCAGTAAGACCTTGTGGTGGAGACCCTGATAAACTGTGTGATACACAGACCAGCAGCATTCAGATCTCCTGAAACTCGTCGAAACTGTAAAACCCCGAGACACTGAAGCTCTGTTAGGCCAGAATTGGCTCGTTAACAAAAATATCAGGCATCTGCATGAACCTCAAATCTTTAGCATTGCTGGTCTAAGAAACAGTGGCCAATTAGTGTTTGCTTTGGACTTTGGTGATCATCTTTCAGAACATTCAGGTCAAGAGCACAGCCAGAGCTAACCAGGGAATCTCTGCAAGTTTGTCCTTCTGTCTTTGCAGGGAGCTGTTGAAATTCTCAGGCAAGTAGAACAGGGATTAAAAACAATTACCGGTAGTAATACTCATAGTTACAGATGATCAAATTGTTGTTTGCACTTTCTGTGTAGACTTGCTGCTAATCCATGCAGACAACTGGAGAAAGACTCATGCATTCTGTCGTTCAACAAACATTCCACTCTATTAGCACATATTCTAAGTGCATTCTGTAAGCCAGAGCTGTGGTTGCCTCTGCCATGCTGACCCCCAAATCCAGAACCGAACAATGTCAGTAATGAAAAAAAGGATATAGAATGAAATCTCAGGAAAGTATGAGTACTATAAAGAAGGGAAAGCAGGATAAAGAAAGAAAGGAGAGAAACAGAGAAGTGCCATTTAAGATCATGTAGGGAAATGGAAGAATCTCTGGGGAAGGAACATGTGGGTCAAGGTTTGAAAGAATTGAGTTCTCAGGCGCTGCAGATAGCTAGTAGAAGAAGTGGATACAGCTTATCCTAAAGTAAGAGAGGGGAAGAGAGATGATAAATGAGTCCAGAAGGTACCACAAGCACAGCATGCACAGCCTTTTCAGCGAGGGAGTCTTTATGATAAGGAAAGCCAGCAGGAGTTCTCAAACTTTAACATGTTTATGGTGACCTGGGAACACTGTGAAGCTGTGGTGTGGAGCTGGGAAATCTGAGGGGAGGCCAGAGTGCCTGTATTTTCAATGATCTCTCTGGAGATGCCAAGGCCATTGCTTTGAAGTCTAAATTTGTAGTAAGCAAAGGGGTATGAGTATGGGGGCTGATAGCTTGAATTGCACCCAATGTCACCCAGCTGGTAACTCAGGCCAGATTTGAAACACACATGCCCAGCGGCAAAGACCAAGTGTCATCGATTGTCTCAGAAAATCTCATGCCTGGTTCACTGGGAGAGATTCTTTGTTGAAAAATATAGAGAGCCTACCTGAGGAAGGTTTCTGTGTATACTCTATTTATGATGAAATGCTCACCCCCTCTTATTAATAGAAGGGAAAGTGGATGCCCTCACAATTACTGACATTTTGTGCTATGTGTTATGAAACACATAGAAGATGTAAGACGTAATTCATCCCTGGCACCTCAGAGACAAGTGTTAACACTGGAGAGCATTTTTGTACAGTCTATATGGAAAACGATAACTCGCTGGTCTAAAAGGTAGTGGCACTATATTTGTAGTAGCTGCCCTGAGGAAGCCAACTGTTCCCCAGACCCTGCAGCCACGCTCCATTTAGTCTGACTTCTCCAGATGCTACTACCTTGTCCATCTGTATTTACTTCTCTTCACTCCCTGGAAGAGCTTAGAGCTCCACGATGTGTTCGGGCTCCAAGGTGTCAGGGAAACGTGCAGCAGTTCACATAACTCAAGTCAGTGAATCTGTAGTACAGATGTGTGACTGTGTGTGTGTGTGTGTGTGTGTGTGTGTGTGTGGTGTGGTGTGTGTGCTGGAGTAATTGGCTCTAGGCTTTCTTCCATGGAAACGGCCATAGCTTGTGATGTAAAGCAGCTACTCAAAGGAAAGGGAGGGTGCTCACTCTTTCTGTCGTGATCCCTGGGGGCGGGAGAGGGGTGTTCTGTGTGTGTACCGTGTATGCCGTCGCCTTGAAGAATGACACGGTTTGGTTGTTCTGTTGCCCTCCTCCTTTGTTAATTCTCTGTGTTCTTTTTCCTTTGTGCTGCACGATTAGGACCCTGCAGTGGGACACAGACCCCTCAGTGCTCCAGCTGCAGTCAGACTCAGAATTTGGGTATATGTCTGCTCTTTTGTTACTCCTTCTATGATTTCCCTGCTATGGTTGTGTTAAAGTGCTGGAGCGTTATTGCTCTGGCTTTCTTCCCCCTTTTGCTGAAACCTCCAATTTGATAAGTTCCTTTTCTTTCGTTAGTTTTCCCCCTACAGCTTGGGAGAAAGTCTTTCTTTGTGGACATCACCACAAAAAGATGACTTCTGTCTTCCCGTTCTTAATTCCTACCAGGGCAAAATGACACTGATCCCAAAGAAAATTACAAAACCAAATGTAGAGGTGGGACACGTGAAGTCTGGAATTGGAGATCCATGTGGCTGTATCCTAAGCATGCTCCCCTCTTACTAACAACCAATCCTGTCTGGGATCAGTATTCAAATGTTGTGTCTTGTTTGTGTTACTCCCTTTTCACTTGTTAGGGAATTCGCAGTAAACTCTTAATTCCAGTTAAGCTATGAATCACTACATTTCTATGAAAGAAGAAGCCGATTTACCCAATATTTCAAACACTTGGTGGTGGGTAATATCTCCTAAAGAAAATCGTTTTCAGAGGGATGTCTTTCAGAGGTTGAAAGGAGGTAGCTTCCGAGTTGAAAAGAATAAAACACACGGGCTTTAGCTTTTGTTTTCCCTTCGAAGATTGGAGTTAACTATAGTCACACATGAGATATTTCCATGGTATGCTCTCACAACTCATTCCCCAGCTCAGAAGAACTGAGTGTGTACTTTTTCCAGCTTCACGTACAGTTAAAGCAACTTGAAATCAGCCATAGTAGGAATATCTACACAGAAATTGAGAAAGATTGTCATGGCTGACATGATGGCATTTACCAACATAAGACTGGGTACTTCCAAAATAAATACCTCAACATTTTATAACAGCATTTTTTTTCTTAAAAAAAAAAACAATATTTCTCCCTGGATATCTGTTTATTTATTATTTAGCCTGAATGCTTCAGCTTCCTGGGCCTGTGGCTCTGGATTTCTGTCCAGTTCAGCACCTACTGTGTAGTTCAGGTTAAATGACGTTCAGGTGTATGTGGCATTGGGTGTATGCAGACGTTTGTAACTGACTCATAATGATGCAAAACCAAGGACTGTAACACCTTAGCTAACTAGCACACTTCAGAAGATAGCTGCAAATTTCTTTTAAAAATTAGTTACTAAGTTTGGGGATACATTTTTTAAAATTTAAGATTACTAAGTTTTGGGCTGTTTTATTAGATCACCCACTATCTGTTTCAAATTAAAAAGTTAATGAGGAAATGTGACTATGTAGAGCAGAGAAGCAATAAGTATATACTAAGTTACAGCTTGCACTGTTTCAGCATGGCATAGCATTTTTAAAGAAAAATAAGCAGAGAGGAGCTGGCAAAGGTTACTGTACACCTTTGAGCTGACCTGTTGTAGGTGGGCTGGAGTATTGCTAAGTTGTATGTGCTGGTACGGAGTAGCTAGGGATTTCCATACCCCTATCTGCTTTTCAGGAGGAAACTCAGCATGCAAATTAAAGCATCCTGGGCAAAAGGCATTTTAGTGCTCTCTCCTCTACTGCCCCAACCTCTGTGTCAGTGAGACAGTGAGTGACAGAGGGACAAAGAGATGTGGGACTGTGCACTGACAGGGACTTGTCTTAGAAAGTTTGGAAGGAATTATCAGAGAATATCTGAGAAAGTTTATTTTAGCCAGGTTATAATTTCGAATATTGCACCTTGACAGCTTCCCTTTTTTGGCAGGTCTTATATTGAGGGTACATACAATAGTTTGTGAAATGCTCCAGAGGCAACAAAATTTCTTTCTTGAGACAGTTTCATTTCCTCACCTTAAGGTTGGCACGAGATTAACCCTAGTCTGTAATTTTCTCTGTGTCTTCACTTAAGAGCTGTACCTGAAATACAACTGACAGAAAATGCTATAGCCGAGCTATTGAAATTGATGATTGTCATGCACACATTCTCATCAAACTGTCAGTGCCACCAGGAAAGCAAACAGTTGTCACCCCCAAAAGTGTCTTTGACCTGTGCTCAGATTCGAATATTTCATTCCACCTACTTATTTTTGTATTTAATTTGCATCTGTTTGTGCTGACTTATTAACGTGGAAACAGAAACTACTTCTTCGCCTGTCTCGCTCCTCTTGATCTCTGTGCTATTCTTACTGGAAGTTTTGCTTTTATATATGTTAAAAAGTACATCATATATTTGGCCTTTTATTCAGCCACTGATTTTTTTTTAAAACAGACTTAGGTGACAAAAGTACTGTTCATCCACACAGTTAACATTTTTTTTCTAATGTTCTTTATTTTTTTTGTAAACCTGTATTTCTACAGAGGAGGTGTCTTCTCCTCTTCTTTCTCCTCCTCCTCCCGCCCCCTTCTCTTTCTCATTCTCCTTTGTGGCTATTTTTTTTTCAGTGAACTGTCTTCAAATTCACTAACAATTTCTATTTGATCAGGACAATGGCTCTTCAGTTCAGAATGTGTCTTTCAGTTCTGTGGTATATAGTTGGGCCCTTTTTAAAATGTCTATCTCTTCATCGAGATTCTTACCATGTAAGATGTGTATTGCTCACAACCATCTGTAACTCTAGTTCCAGGAGATCTGATGCCCTCTTCTGCCTTCCCTGAGCTTATGAATGTAGGTCGTGAAGAGGTGTACACGCAGGCACACATATACACACATACACACACATGCACACACACTAAGTACTTTTTTCACTTAAATCGATTTATTACTTATAACTCTGCTCTCTAGATTATGAATTTTTTCAACAAATACTTATTAAAACATCTATTTAGTTTACTTAAAAACAGCTTCATCCTTGTGGGCCTTACTTCTGGGTTACTTATTTATTTGGGAGCTTTTCTTTGATTCAGGATAGTTTCCTCCTTACCCAGCCTCAGGTCCCTGCCATAGACTCAGTCCATCTCCACAAAGGCTGAATATCTACTGGCCCCTGAGCTCCATCCAAAGGACAACCACAACCACATACAGTGTAATCTCTCCTTCAAACTGCCCCAATGATCCCGTGTCACCGTTCACTTGTTGGCTTCCTTGCGTGTGTGTGTGTGTGTGTGTGTGTGTGTGTGTGTGTGTGTGTGTGTTTGTGTTTTAACCTACAATTTCTGGTCCTCCCTCCTTGGCCACAGCTTTCTGAGATTACAGCATGGGTCAGGGCACCCAGCTGTCTCTATACATCTTTTTAGGCTAGCTCTTGCAGCCCTCAGCCAAGGCTGGGGAGTTCCTGCTACCAAGACAGGATTTGTATGGTGTTCTACACAATTCTCCTGGATGAATCTGGACTTGCCTTGAGGCTTAGCAGTGTGAAATGAGCTGAAGAGATTTTTTTTTATTTAGTGTAATTTATTATTTTTTCAAGTTACATGTTTCTCCTGAGTTGCTTCTAGAACCATTTGCATCATAAAAAACATACAGAGGCTGGCAGGATTAATTCTATTAAACTTTTATATAATTAATAAACTTTTATTCTAATGCAGTCAGTGTTTTATCACACCTGATTTTGACCACATCAGCAGAGATGATTTGGTGATGAGAACTTCCTTTATCAAAGAAGCCTTGACCTACACTTCAGGAAAAGTATTTTTAGCATGACGTGTCATCTTCAAATATAGTTAATGGGAAATTTTAGAAAGAAGCAATGAGTAGTCTGATACAAACGATTACTGCATCTTAAGCCCAGGGCGCTGCATTTCCTTCTAAGTTGTTCCTGGTTCGCCTTAAGAACACAAGTGCACTCTAACATTGTCTTCCTTACCCGATGGGTTTGAATGTTTATATATGTTAAGGGAAAATTCTCCCCAAATCATCGTGTCTTCTTCGATTTCCCTCAGGAATGGAAAGTAGCATCCTATCACGTGGCCCAAGCAGGGAGTAAAAGTTTTCATCCCAGCTGGGTATAAAATAACAGCACATGCTGTGTTCCACACGCTGAGGCTCACCACTTCCTCTCAAACTCTACTTTTTAAGCTTTGGGTTAGCCGCCAGCTCTTACCTGATCTCTGCAGATTTGAACTCCAATCCTCACACTTGAGTGCTGAGCACTTTTACCCACTAAGCTTCTTCCTAGCCCCTGAAATCTACTTTGACTGCTGCAGGGGCTGCTGTGGTCTGTGCTCTGTAACTGTTTCCCAGGTAGATTATATAATATTTACACACACACACACACACACACACACACACACACACGGCTTTCAGTGTCTCAGCACATTCGTGGTCTCTGTTTGTTGATGATGAGAGGAAAGCAATATGACCCTCCCAAAACAACTATTGGGATTTAAAACACTGTATTCAGTCCCTGACATCTTAATAGCAAGAGACCAGTGGCTTCATGAGTGAACTTTGCCCTCTCCCGATTTGGCTAAAACAATGCTTAAGAAGAGATATTCTAATCCCTAGAGAATACCCAGAACTGTCACCAAGCATCCCATTAGGTAATTCTTCCTTTGGTCTTGAACTTGGGCAATGTGGGATGTTTAAAATGCGGTCTGCTGGGTACTTAGGCAGTAGTCCTGACTCCTGCTCAGGTCAGTAGCTAGTCTCCTTGTTGGAAGCAATTGCCGTCTGCTCCTGGTCTTCCTAGGACAAGCATTCTCAGTCCATTTAACATGGCTCTGCCTTGAGTTTTCCAAGTCTTTAAGTTCTCTTACCTTCTTGATGAACAGTTCATCTTTGACTCGTTTCTTTCTTCTATACTCTTACTACATGCATACAAGCACTAAATATTTTGCATTTACAGATACTTGCTGAGCTCACAAGTGCTACCCTGCCACAGGCTAAAAGTCTATGTCTGGATTGGCAGGCAGCAGGAAGTGAACTGGCTTGAGCTTCTGGGACCTCAAAGCCCACAATCCAGTGACACACTTCCTCCAACAAGGCCACACCTCCTAATAGTGCCCACTCCCTATGAACCACATAGTCAAACACACAAGTCTGTGGTGGCCATTTCTCTTCAAAGCACCACACCATTATCTTTTTGAGAATCATGTAGCTCCCAGGCAAGCTGAAACTGGCTGTGACTTCACTAACATTCGATTACAATTACACTTTCTACAAAAAATGAAATACAGACAGCATCTTAAAACACACATACATACATATCAAAACCTACTCGTAAAATGCACGCCAGAATCTAAATCTATAGATGAGTATTGACTCATCAAAGGGATTCATAATTTGAATCAAAACTTTGATTCAAAGTTTGTCTGATCAAAACTTTGTCACAAGAGAGGGAGGAAGCATCTTCCTCATCTCTTATAATGCAAATAATTTGTGCCCAAACATTTCTTAAGAGGTTGATGTTTCTTCGCCTTTATTTTACACCTTAAGAATCTTAAGCAAGTTATTCTAATTTTCTGTTCTGCAGTAGCAACTCCATCTTCAAAAATGCAGTGTCCCTGTTGCCTTCAGGTTTAGGAAAACAAAATCCATTTGGGGAAGAAAGTACACTCTCACTTAGAAATTCAGTGGCTTACTTGGAAGGCTCTAATTACACAAGCTTCAAGTTACAGACTGTATGGAACTTATTCAAAGTCATCAAGGAAATAAAAGGTCAATCTTAAAAATACTTTATAGCATATCTGTAGCAACGTTGGAAAGAACACAATTCTGTACCATCTGTCCTTATTGTTTGGCATTTTCTACTCCTCATACTTGAGGGCAGGGACTCCACCAGGGAGGCTATGATGGCTTTAGCTCTTGTCCATCTCAGGACAAGTTGCAAAGTTTGATTGTGTTGCAAAATCCAAAGCAAACCTGTGAGCTGCTGCTATTGATTAAGCTAGCATTGACATTTGCTTCTTTTCAGGAAAAATGGATCAGCAGCCAAACTACTATCTCTGCACAGCTAGAAGCAGATACTGTGGAAATGCAATAAATGCTCCCAAAGATGATTTTAATGCAAATATGAAGGACAAAAATTCATCCTTGTATTGATGTGGAAAGGCCAACTCTCATGCTGCTTCTTTTGGAGTGAAACACCCACTAGTCTGAGCACAGATGATGACTGTGTGTGTGGCAAGATGACCAGAAAGCCAGTTACTTTCTTGGTATTGTGTCCCATCCTCACTGATCTTCTCTCCCAGAGCTCTGGAAATCTGTCCATAAGATGCTACAGATTGTACCCACTGCTACCAGAGCACAGTATTTAGGCAACAAATTAATTCCTTGTCATTTGACGATAATATCTTAATTAATTTTTGAGAATTTTATGTAATATATTTTAATCACATTCATGTCTCCACTCCTCCCAGATAGATTCATCCTACCTCTTACCGGGTCCACTAGGTGTCCTCCTTGGTGGAGGTGTTTTTAACTCACTAAGTCCAATTTATGCTACTGGAATAGAAAAGTAATCATTGTCTTACCCTGCTGTGAACCCTATGAGCTACAATTAATGACTGGCCTGGCAAGATATGTCTACCTGGTCAAGAGCTGCATAAATATTAGGGGAGGAACCGAGCGAAGTCCAAAGCAAACCTTTGGGCTCCAGCTATTGATTAAGTCCACGCTCTTTAGTCTCTAATAATCTATCCTCAATACGCATCTCTCGATTCATCTTAAGGCCATTGCTCTTCCTATTCAAAACTTCTATTCCACAAAATCAGACTTTCCAGTATAAAATGTAAATTCGGTTCTCAGATCTTTGCGTATGCAGGATAAGCTGGCTAGAACATAGACTCTTCCTGCTTACTTGAGATTATCCTTTGGAATTTAAACCAGGTCTTCCATTGTCAGTGAAGTGAACCCCATTTATCCAAACACAAAGCAATCTGCCCACCACACTGTCTTCTCCCAGTGACGTGACTCATTCATGTTAGCGCTTACCGATTGCAGCCTCAAGTTCTTTCTTGCTGTCTGATGTAGACATTCTGCTGCTCATTCTTTTCGTGTTGTAAGGATCTGGCACAGTGCCTTGCTCAAACACAGTCGATGGTGGTAGTTCCTTACCACTCCTCCACCCACATAAAACGTTGAACAAGGAAGAAAAGGTTACTGTTATCAACCTTACTCTGAGGGGTTTATCTATTAAAAAACACTTGGAAAGCTTTGGGGAAGATAAGGAGGAAACTCTCTGGCAGCATCATCAGCTGTCAGCCTTGGGATTGACACACAGGTGTGACTAAGCAAGAAAAAATAATGACTTACAGTTGGATGTAAGCTTGATGCAGACGTTCTTTCTAATGCTCTGACCTTGGCCTACTTTGATATCTGGCCAAAGGACTCCTTTTCCCTGAGAACATTTGTTCCTGGCTTTATCTTTCTTTCAGGCTTCCTCTTGCCCCGTTACTGCAATGACTTTCTTGGGTTTCCAGGACTGTGAATCCCCATACACTGGCTTCTGATTCCCTGTCCCCACCCCCATCCAGACATCTTTCCAGTGAGCAATCTGATTGGTTTACCATCAGTTGCTGAAAGCTCTGAAACCCTCATTGAACACCATTTTTGAGGTGTCGAATTTTTGTGATTTTGTGATTGACTTTTTAAAATTCGGAAAGTTTCTGAGATAACTCAAGTTGATTTTAATCCTGACTTTTCAGAACTAATGTTTCTGACTCCTAATGTCAGAATTTAGGGAAGGATCCTATGCATGTCCGGCTGGATATACATTGCAATTTTCTGTGTCATATCAATGATGCCTTAGAAATAGCCCAGCTTCTGCTGTACTGTGCTCTAGTCATCAGTTTTGATACTGAAAAAAAAAATGCTAACAAGAGCTTAACTTGGGACAACTTGATACTTACAAGCAAAGAATAAATCTGAGCCCCTAATTCAGACCATATACAAGTAATGCAAATAGATCAAATGCATAGATTTGCGAGTTCAAACTATGAAACTCAGGAGAAGATGAATATAAGATGACTGTAATCAGGGCTTTGGAATGAACCATGATACTTCAGACATACACCCAAAGACAAGCAAAAATAAATACAATATATATATTCAATTTGATTAAAATGGAAACTTTTGCACTTCAAAGGACACCATCAAAAGAAAAAAGTAACTCACAGAACAAGACAAAATAGTTACACGTCATATAGATGATTAAGATCTAGTGCCCTGCATACATAATTTTTAAACACAACAGAAAAAAAAACAACTTAATTTTTTCAAAATATTAAAATGATATTCAAGCATCTGCTAAGATATCATCAGCCACTGTGAGGAAACTTTACACTTGCTAGGGTGGTATGATTTTAAAAAGTAGATGATCAGAGTTGAGGAATATAGAGCACTGCCATACATTGCTAATGAGAATTCATTATAAAAGGACAACTTGATAAATAGCTTGGCAGTTACTCAAAAGCTAAGCAGAATCTCCATGTGGTCCATGAGCTCTGGAACTTGGCTGCTGGCTGGGGAAGTCAAAAGGATTCTGTTCAGACATTGAAGTCTATCGCCCTCCACTTCCTGATATTACTAGGTTAGTGAAACACATTTGGTGGCAATTGGACTTCCTGGGGCTGAGAAGCTGAGACCTTGCTCTCAAATCACAAATGAGGGCTCCTCACCCCACAGGTTTCATTGCTATGGATTTATGGTGGGGATTGGATTTTGCATTCTTCCCTCAAAATGCTTCCTGTGCTGTTGATTTG